CCCTCAATACCCAGCAAAACTATTTTTGGCCCTTATTTTCTAATTTTGTTGAAGAGAGAGTATAAGCAATAATAGGAAGGAACAAGGGTTTTTTTTTTTTTCATTTTTCTTTTATTATTCATATGTGCATACAAGGCTTGGTCATTTCTCCCCCCTGCCCCCACCCCTCCCTTACCACCACATCCGCCCTCCCCTCCCCCCCCCCCTCAATACCCAGCAGAAACTATTTTGCCCTTATTTCTAATTTTGTTGTAGAGAGAGTATAAGCCATAATAGGAAGGAACAAGGTTTTTGCTGGTTGAGATAAGGATAGCTATACAGGGCATTGACTCACATTAATTTCCTGTGCGTGTGTGTTACCTTCTAGGTTAATTCTTTTTGATCTAACCTTTTCTCTAGTTCCTGGTCCCCTTTTCCTATTGGCCTCAGTTGCTTTTAAGGTATCTGCTTTAGTTTCTCTGCGTTAAGGGCAACAAATGCTAGCTAGTTTTTTAGGTGTCTTACCTATCCTCACCCCTCCCTTGTGTGCTCTCGCTTTTATCATGTGATCAAAGTCCAATCCCCTTGTTGTGTTTGCCCTTGATCTAATGTCCACATATGAGGGAGAACATACGATTTTTGGTCTTTTGGGCCAGGCTAACCTCACTCAGAATGATGTTCTCCAATTCCATCCATTTACCAGCGAATGATAACATTTCGTTCTTCTTCATGGCTGCATAAAATTCCATTGTGTATAGATAACACATTTTCTTAATCCATTCGTCAGTGCTGGGACATCTTGGCTGTTTCCATAACTTGGCTATTGTGAATAGTGAAGGGCATTTTAGAAGAGCAAAAAGCAGCTGAGTTCTGAGACCAGAGTTCATTAGGGGAATATTACCATCAGGTAGCAATTTGAAGCTGGCTATTGGCATATGTTCACAGTATTTTAGAGTTAGTGCCAAATGTTAAACATTGGTCTCTGTGCTAAAATAGTCTTTATTTTTCTGTCCTTACTCCAGTCACTCACCCCAATTCTGTAGTATTTTTTTTAAAGCTATTAAAAATTAGTTGTCACTATGACATTTTTATAGTAAATGCTTATTTACATTCATTCACTAGTTTATTATTTTCTTTGCTTGTCAGTGGTATATCTTCTTTGTGTAGTTATTGAAGTTTATCATCACTCTTGAATATAGGTTAGCTATCAAAGTTTAGATCAGTAGTTATTTTCTTATTAAATGAAATTATCCCAGTATCTTCTTCCTGTTATCACTGATGAGAATTGATCCTTTTTCTTTTGTGTTGCTTTTAAGTTTTTTTAACATTGTCTGTAAGAGTCTGCAGTTTCACCATAATGTTTCCAGATCCTGTTTATGATTTTATTCTGAAGATTCATATCTTTCATCAATTCTGGAAAATAATCATCTTTTTGAAAATTGCCTTGTCTTATTTTCCTCTTCTCATTCTTTCCTCTTCTTTATATTACATATATGTTGCGGTAAATAATAGTTCTCTCTTCTATGTCTCTTAAGTTCCTTTTTATATTTTTCATCTCCTTGTTCTGCTATTTTGTGTAATTTTTTTTCTTTCAATCTCTTCACTAATTCTCTTTTAAGATGCTTAATCTTCTGTTAAACCCATTGATTGAGTTTTCATTTGAGTATATTTATAGTGTTTAACACAAGTTTAGTTAAATAGATGTATTTCAGAAATCTGTTTTTTTCCTTTTTTAAGCCCTTCCAGTATTATTCGTCGCGCTTCCTCCCCGGATACACTTGCAGCTCCGTATCTTGCTGGGCACTGCCTGTCCCACACACACATTTTTGCACATTTATATACATAAGGTCTTTATTCACATCTTGTCTTCTTAGAGTAATGTTTACAGCTACACAGCTAGTAGGTAAAGGCAGATAACAGGCTGAAGCTTAAACGTTCTGCTAGAGAAAAGGTTAGATCAAAAAGAATTAACCTACAAGGTAACACACATGCACAGGAAATTAATGTGAGTCAACTCCCTGTTTAGCTATCCTTATCTCAACTAGCAAAAACCCTTGTTCCTTCCTATTATTGCTTATACTCTCTCTACAACAAAATTAGAAATAAGGGCAAAATAGTTTCTGCTGGGTATTGAGGGGGTAATGGGGGAGAGAGAGGGGGTGGAGGGAGGGAGGGGGTAGGGGAATGGGGGAGAAATGACCCAAACATTGTATGCACATATGAATAATAAAAAAATAAAAATAAATAAAAAAAGTGAATGTTCTGGACAAATAGAAGTAGTCAGTGAAAGTTGGGTGCCAAGTCTTCAGTGGGAGTTGTGTGATGTGATAAAAACTGTGTTGTAGGTAGCCTGTAGCAGGGGAGCAAGAGTTTCTTTGAAAATAAGTAATATTTAAACCAATAATAACAATTTTATAAAGTAGATTAAATTATTATATATCTCTACTGAATAGCTTTGAAGATCATAGTATAATGGATACTGCTTTCCCAATAAGTGGTTAATTCAGTAAATACTGGCAAGTTTTGTCTTTCTTTCACTGTAATGTCATTCATGTAATTGTCCTTTAAAGTTTTTTTTAAAGATAACTAATTCCATGGGCTGTCAGTTTGCAATTAGAGACAGTGTTTAACCAAATTAGATTATCTTAAATTCTATTTAATGGGTTTCTCCCCTCCCACCTTTTTTTCCCCTCCCTCCCTTCTTCCCTCTGGATTGAAGTTAGGACCCAATACTTAGTGCTGATCTGAGCCATCTACCACTGAGTCACACCCCAGGCTGAGTTTCCTTTCGGTGAATATTTTAGATTGTCAGTTGCTAAACTCCTTTGTGGCACAAACTGTTCCTACATTTCTAAAATTTGGTTATTTCAAAAATGTTACATAAATGAAACCGTAGTATATAATCAGTCAGGGTCAACTATTGTCAGTTGATGTCATTCCAGAGATTCTTCCAAGATGTTCTTTCTTTTAGGGGGATAGAGGGGAAGAAGGGTGCTCGGGATTGAACCCAGGGTCTTGCACATTGATTTGTTCCTTTTTATTGCTCATTTTTATATATTCAAGTTGGAACTTCTATAAGCTTTTAATTTTAGCTTTTTTCTTCCTAAGCTGTTTTCTTTTTAATTAATTGTTTTTGCCTTACATCTAGGCGACAAAACACGACCACCTTCTTCAAGCCCCTCCAGTATTATTCGTCGCACTTCCTCCCTGGATACACTTGCAGCTCCGTATCTTGCTGGGCACTGGCCTCGTGACAGTCATGGGCAAGCTGCACCTTGCATGAGGGACAAAGCTACACAAGTAGGTTTATTATAGTTCTTATCCTAAAGTTTTCTATGCTGAAGCTGTTTCCCATACTGTTATTTGTTCTAGTCTGTATTCAAATTCCTGAAACATTAGTTATATTAGAATTTCTCGAGAAGCTTATCAAAAGTTCAGATTCCTTAGGGCCTGACCTCCGATACTCTACAGTAGGTCTTAGGATCTGGGAATGTATATTTCAAAAAGTTCCCAACGTAATTCTGGTACATACAGATAATTTGTGGACATACTTTTTCTCACTTACTCTTTGTAAGTTATTTTAGGATATCACAATATTTTTACATATGGAATTTGGGCTTAAAATTTGTAACAATAAGAATGAATTACCGTATTTTGTGCCAAAAATCTTCACGTATTTGGGGATCATATTACATTGCTGATAAATACTATAAATGTAAGTAAGTATCCTAGCAAAGGACCTTTGGAAGTTATATTTATACGTCTACATTTGTAAGACTTTTTGATTAAAAATTTTTAGGAGATTGGGCTGGAGGCATGGCTGAAGTGGAAGAGCACCTGCCTAGCAAGTACAAGGCCCTGAGTTCAAACCCCAATACTGAAAAAAAGCAAAAAATAAAAAATTTGTTAAGGAATCATTCAGGTCTACTTCTATTTACAGGAAAGAACTGAGGTCCCAGATGCCTGCATGTTAGTTTGGATTTCTTTTATAGAATTTACCACAACTGTAATTAATATTTATATAATTACTTACTTGATGTTATACTCACTAGACAGTGAATCCTATGTCTGGCTTATCCATTGCTGCATTTCTGTCCCCAGTACTTAGTACTGTACCTGATAGAATAAATGCACAAGGAATATTTGCAAAGGAATTAATGAGCAGAAGAGTTGTAGCCTTATCGCTACAGAAAAGATTGCCAAGTTGCATCTTCATTTGGACTTCAGATTTATATTAGTGGTTGCTTTATCCTAGAATAGTTTTTTTTCTTTTTTCTTTCTTTTTTTTTTGATACTGAAGTTTGAACTCAGGGCCTATGTCCCAGAATTTTTTGAGAGAATGTCTTTTTACAGAGGCAAACAGTTTGGGGTGGTTTGGAATTTGCAAGTTGATATTCAAAATTACAGGTGCTCTTCATAACTTTGTTTTCTGTTATGATACTCTTGAAACTGAATCGTATTGTTAGGGAAGATGTCCCAGGTTTGTACTCTGGGACAACTATGAAAATGAAATGTAAATCTATAGAGTTCAGGCACTTTCTAAAATCTGTAAAGGTATTTTGTTCTCTTTTCAGTCTTCTTAATCTTACTTAGTAGGTGGGCTATTTGTGATTTCTGTGATTGATGACTGGCTTAGAAGATGGCCTTAATTAAAACATCATAAAGTTAAATATTTGGTAAACTAGAGGCTAATACAATGTTGAATTACTGAAGATGGCTACTTACAAATCTACAGACTTTTTTAGAGGCTGTTTCCTTTTTCTTGGAAGTAAAATCTAGAATTTATTGCCAAAAAGGAAAATAATTATTTTACATGTTTAATAGATATTAGCAACATTTTTGAGATATAATTAAAAGTTATATCTTGGTATTTTGGAAGAGATGGACCAGTTTTTGGTTTTTGATCTGTTTTGTTGGAAATACTGGAGTTTGAACTCAGGACTTCAGGCTTGTTAGGCAGAAACTCTATCACTTGAGCCTTGCTCCAGCCCTCCAATTATTGGTTTTTAAATTACTTTTTGAGTAACATTTGCTGGGGTAGGAGGGTGTGGTCTCATTTTTTTTTGAGGCAGAATCTTACTTTGTAGCCCAGGCTGGCCTTGAAGTCACCATCCTCCTACCTTAGCAGCAATTGCTGTTTTGAATAAAACCTTGGTCCACTGGTTGAAACTGAAATATAGTATTAGGAGGAAAGCAAAATGTTAGCTTTCTTTTTTGAGACATCATTCCATTGACCTCAGTATAAGCCCTGTTGTTGCCTTTTAGCAATTTTGCCTTTATTGAATAAGCCTAGGATTTTGAAAGGATCCAAAATTTCCAGATGTTTCTCAAAACTGTGATCCACTCTTAAATTCATACAGTTCAGTTCATTTCTGTTTAATCTCCTTTAATCTGAGAACAGCACATTTTCATACTTTTTTTCTTAATTACATTAAGGTTTAAATTGCCCTATATATTTTTAAATAACTTTTTTCCTTTTGCAATTAGTAAGTCATTTATAAGGTAATGTTTGGCATTCTATGAATATCCAGTTCCCTAGGAACTTTTTAACCTGATGATTTTGGTATGCATTGATGATCCTTGCTTTAATTACTTCCTCAGAGGTTGCAAAAATGGAAAAGGAAAAAAAAATTTGAAAAGAGAAAAAAAAGATGACTTTCTTCTACCCCCTTACACACAGGATATCATATTCTATACATTCTTCTTCAAGTGTGTTTTCACTTAGTATGTTAATTATACCTATATAGAGTCTCCCTTATCTTAAATAAGGGTATTCTTTTTTCCTCTTTGTAAATATCATTGAATAAACCAAACTATTTTTGAGAAACTCAGCAAGTAAAATCAGAGTTAAATACTAACCCACGAGTCCTGAAATGTAAGTGTAAAATTTTAAACAATTCTTGAATTTGGAATTTTACCTACAAAGTAACTCTTTCATCATGATTTTATTCCAAAGTTTTAATGTAAATAATAATATAAAAATATGTGAAAGAGGTTTTTTTTTTTCAGTATTAAAAAAACTCCAGACCTTTATACAAATAAAATGATTTCTGTTTTCACCCTCCTTGCTTTAGTTCTGAAAGAAATGCTAGCCCACAGACTAATCTCAAGAACCAGGCTTTGTTTTTTTCTCACTTAACAATGTTTTGTAACACTGGAGTAACAATAAAGTCCTGGTATCACTCACATTGATTGGAATGCAGAAAAAATTTTTTTTATAAAATAAACCTTAACCCTCTTTCTGTCGTGACTGTTCTTGGGTGAAATCATAAGTCTTAGACAATTTTTTTTGATTAAGGAATTATTTGAAATTCAGTACAGTTGGGAAAAAAGAAAAGAATTCTTACCATTCTTCTGTATATGTCTGTGATCATAGGAGATAACAAAATAAGTCATGACTATTTGGCATAATAGAATGAAAATAAAAATTAATATTTAATGAGTATTTTGTTATTGGCATTTTACTTAAAAATTAAACCTTTAAAAGTGGAAAAAATTTAAATTATAGGATAAGTAACTTGTCTAAGATGACAAAGATGTTACACGACTGAGACAGGACCTAGACATGTACCTGTTTAACACAAGCAAATGGGATCTGAACCATGCATTCTGTGCTGCATATTAAATCATTACTTTGATTGTGGTTTTAGCTTAATTTTGATACTTTGTGCTTTGTAGTTTTATTTATAGGTGGGTTGGTCTTTGTGATAGGAGTTTTAATAGCTGATCTACAGAGCCTGTGGACCCTCATGTGAGAAAGCATAAACATAATAGGGTCACTTCTGGGTCTTACAACAATTGGTGGCCCTAAACTGAAAGTGGACTTTAGGGTAGAGTGATAGGTTGCTGATTGAATTGCAGTCTACTGATTCAGTGTTTAAGGCTCGTTGTTGGAATGGAGTCCTTTGAGCTGTAAGGATATATCCAAGCCTAGGGCATTGACTAATTGGGATCACAATTCTTTTTTTTTTTTTTTTCCATTTATTCACATGTGCATACATAGTTTGGGTCATTTCTCCACCCTGCCTCCCTCCCCCACTCTTCCCCCCCTCCCCCCTTCAGTTCCAGGCAGGTCCTGTTCTGCCCTTTTATCACTAATTTTGTTGAAAAAATGACATAAATATAATAAAGAAGACAAAGTGTTTTTGCTAGTTGAGTTAAGGATATCTATACAGAGAGATTCCTACTATTGCTTTCATGTACCCATGTGTTACGACCCATGTTGATTCAACTCTAACTCAATGATCTTTACATTGGTTCCTGATCCCCTGCTCATGATAACCTCTGTCATTTTAAGGTTTCTGTATTAGTTCCTCTGGAGTGGGAACATCAAATGTTTTCATGTTTTGGGTTTTCTACCTATTCCTATATCTCCCGTATGTGCTTTCCCCTTGTCATGTGATCCAAGTCCAACCACATTGCTGCATTTGCCCCAGATCTAATATCCACAAATGAGGGAGAACATACAATTTTTGGTCTTCTGAGCCTGACTGACCTTGCTCAGAATGATGTTCTCCAGTTCCATCCATTTACCTGCAAATGATAAGATTTCATTATTCTTCATGGCTGAGTAAAATTCCATTGTGTACAAGTACCACATTTTCTTAATGGGATCACAATTCTTGATTTTGGAAAACCTTTCCTTTTCATCCTCATTTGAAACTAGAGCATTTTATAATTAGTAATGGGTGGGTTAATCATACAAAGAATACCCAAATTGTAAGCAGTATTTTTAGTACTTTCATTGTTTTCAATGGGCTATACATTTATGTACTACAAAATTCAAGAGACACAAAAGGGTATACAGTAAAGACTCTTCTTCCCTTGAGGCAGCCACTGATAACCAGTTTCTTTTGTTGTCATGTACAGTCTTCCAGAAGTGGTTTATTTACATTTTTTCTTAGCAGTCCCATGTAAAGGCAGTTGCTATACACATGAGTACTAATGCCATGAGGTTTTTCACTTAAAATATCCGGAGCTTATTTCATATCCATACACTGAATTTCTTTACTCCTTTTTTTTAGTTACATAGTATTCTATTGTAAAAATATGCCATAATTTCCCCAGTGCTGGTGGCTCATGCCTGTAATCCTAGCCACTCAGGAGGCAGAGATCAGGAGGATTGCCTTTCAAATCCAGCCTGGGCAAATAGTTCACGAGACTCTAAAAAAAGGGCTGGTGGAGTGGCTCACGGTATAGGTCCTGAGTTCAAGGCCCAGTACCATCAAAAAATATATATATAGGCCATAATTTATTTAGCCAAGCCTAAATCTATTTTATTTGTATCATCCAGTCTTTTACTTGTATGAACAGCACTATAAGGAATAATACAAATGTCATAAAGTTTTAAAGTTTTAACTTGCATTTCTTTTATTACTGGTGAAGTTGAGCATATTTCAGGTACCAAGAATTGATTTATATTTTCTTTTCTGACACACTATTAAATTTTGGACTTGATATAACCACTAAAGACTTAACATTTTTGAGGTTACTCTGCACGTACTTAAACCAAGAATAGAGACAATATAGAGATTAAGATTATGAGCTCCCAATTAAAAATAAGAGATTATGAGCTCTGCAGTCACGTTTATTTCTTGGCTTTCCCATTTCCTATCTTTGAGACCTTAGGTACCTTATCTGACCTCTTTGATTGTCACAGTTTCTTGGTCTTCAGAGCTCCTAGAACTTTTTATATCCGTTAGATCAGATAATGCCTAAGAAAACAATGCTTAGTACATAGTAAGAGCACAGGAATGTTTGCTGTTACTATCATGCTCTTCTATACTTTGATCAATAAACACTGTATGTACAGTGTGAATATAGTTTGTAGAAATAATCATTACTTTTTGTTAATAATAGAAATGAAAGAATTACACTGAACTATTATATTTGTAAGTGGTGCTGGCAGGATTGCAGGTGATTTGGTATTTTAAATTCGTTCATATATCTAACTTTTCTGTAGTGAGAATGTATTTTATAATAAAAATAGAGCATATATTATTAATATATTTTATTAAAATATCACTCTCTCTTTTTTTCCATTATAGACGGAGAGTGCATGGGCTGAAGAGTATGCTGAAAAGAAGAAAGGATCCCATAAGCGCTCAGCATCGTGGGGCAGTACAGATCAACTTAAAGAGGTTAGGAGAATGTTCGTTGGCAATAGAAATTTGACCCTTTCATTTAGCTAGTTCCTGAAAGTTGTGGGCATCAACAATTTGTCATTTTCCTTAGTAAGGATTTGACTAGGGAAATGTACATATTATTTACCTGATTATGTTGGTTTGGTTTTTTTTGTTCAGAAAAAATTGGATAGTCCGTACCTGTCAATACAATATAAACAGCAGATTTATAAAATTACAGTGATAAAAAAATTCACATTTGTTATTTTTCTGTATATGATAGTATTTCTGAAATTTGGTAAACTCAGTTAAAACAAGTTGATTATGACTCTGTGCCATGATTACTGTTTTTTTTGTGTGTGTGTGTGTGTGTGTGTGTGCCCGTAAATAATGACATTTTCGCTTTATCCATGTAGAAGTAAAAGAAAAATCAGTCAAGGATGGCATGGTCATCGAAGTTGCATTTGTTACTTACATATTATATCTGTGAATATATTCCATAGCTTGATTTTTAAATACTGTCTAATTTCTGCATCTGTTGAAGGTTAGGTGTTCAATAAAAACATCTAAATCGAAATAAAAATTGGCTTAAGATAAAGGCAGTGAGAGAAAAATTAATGTTATTTTTTAATTCTTCTGAAAGATGTAATTTATTCTAGGTGCTAAAAATTTGTTTAGCTCTTGGGAAATGGTAAAGTGCTTACCTAGTTTTGGGACACTTGAAGACTGAGAACAATGCTGTAATATAGTTTGTTTCTCCTTAAAAGAAAGATAAATATTTATGGATATCTGCATAAAATTTTGTACAATAAATCAGATTTTGAGATATGGTTTAAATTTCGAAGGATTTATTAAGGATAAGTTTTATTGGTTCTTCTAAAGCAAGAATATGTTTTGATTAAGCAAGAATGGTTTTCTTTAGTGTGAAAAAAATACCGGTATACTCATTTTTCTCCTTTTCAGATTGCAAAATTACGCCAGCAATTACAAAGAAGTAAACACAGCAGTCGTCATCATCGAGATAAAGAAAGACAGTCTCCATTCCATGGCAACCATGCAGCTATTAACCAGTGTCAGGTAGGAGCACAGATAACACAAAATCCACTAAAGGAATCTGTTGTTTTTCTAGTGCTTTGTTGTTCAAGACAAAAATACACAAGAGTATACTTGAAACAATTTAAACACTGAATCATGGTCTTCCTAAATATATATCTGTATTAAGTGGACAAAATGATATTTTCATTTAATGAGCTACGATGATATCTAGGAGATATACCTAACAATGTATTTTAACATTTTGTTCACTATATTGTTGGAGGTTGGATAACACAGATCATAAGCATTGACTATTGACCCTGGATGAGGAACTTATACAACATTTCCATTTTCTTTACCTAAAGATTGGGAATAGCACCTGTCTCTTAAAAGTCTTTTGGAAGGAAAAACCTTTAACTGCTTTCTTGGATTCCTTAAGTAGAGCACTATGAACTGCTCTTGATGACTCACCCAGGGAGCACTTCTCTTTAACTGAATTGAAATTGGCTGGCGTCCCTTTGCAAGGAGAGAATAAATTCATTTCATGTCCCATGATTGAATATTTCAATTCCCAATAGTAAAGCTTTGGGAATGAGGGAGTCTAGATTCAGTTTTCTATCTCAACAATAAGGCAGTAGGCTATAGAAGGCTTAGTTCTGTGACTTTCAGGTCATATTTTACTAGACTGGGCAAATTTTGGTGAAGAAGCCAAGACGCCTATCACCTGTTTTTGTAAGTAAGGTTTTATTAGAATGCAGCCATGCCATTCTTTTTTTGTGGGGGGAACGGGGATGGGTATTACTGGGTTTGAACTCGGAGCCTCTCACTTGCCAAGTAAGCACTCTACCATTTGAACAACTCCACCAGTTCCTTTTTGTGTTGGGTATTTTTGAGATAGGGTTTTGTAAGAACTGTTTGTCTGGGCTAGTCTTGAACCACAATCCTCCTGATCTCTGCGTCCTAAGTAACTAAGATTACAGGTGTGAGCCATAGGCGCCTGGCCCCAGAGTTGTTTTTGAGATAGGGTCTCCCTAACTTTGCGCTGGTTGGCCTCAAACCCTCATTCTTCTGCCTCCACCTTATCTATTATCTATGGCTCCTTTCTTGGTACAGTAACATCATTGAGTAGTTGTGATAGAAACTGTCACCCTCAAAACTTAAATATTTACTCTTTGAACCTTTACAGTTAGCCACTGCTTTTGCAAAATAACAGTTTCTAATGATTGCTAAGTGTATAAGGATCGTCTGCAATAGAAAGTATGAGTAAAGGAGTTTGATAAGTTTTTGTGTTGGAAGTTTTTTTGTTTGTTTCGTTTTGTATTTTTGGTGGTACTGGAGTTTGAACTCAGGACTTCAAACTTGCTGAGAAAGCGCTCTACCACTTGCTGGGCAAGCCACTCCCCAGCCTAATAGGAATTAATAAAATTTTGAAGTGATTTTCTTTTAAAGTTTCATTAAAACCAGCAATTTTATCCTGGCATGGTGGTTGCACACCTGTAATCCCAGCACTTGGGAAGCTGAATCAAGAGGATTGAAAATCCAAGGCTAGGGTGGTCTACAAAGTGAGACCCTGACTTATAAACATGAACAAATTTACACAAAAATTTATCCAAGCAAGTGCTCTACCACTGAGCTACACTCACTGAGCTACTCTGATAGGAAGAATTCAGAGTGCTATACCAAGGGTATTTATCCTTAGACTGAGAGGCTGGAGCCATCTAGAGAGGCTTCTCAGAGAAAGTGGTGTTTGTCTGATTCCTGACATATAATAGGTTTTTAGACAATCTTCTAGAAGTGGATTGAAGTTATGGCTTACAGTAGGGTAACAGTAAAAGATTAGATTGGAGAGATAAATAGCAAGCAGGCCAAAACATTATGGGCACTATACTTCTTTGTAGTACTGGGGTTTGAACTTAGGGCCTCACAGGTGGTAGCTCTACCACTTCAGTCACTCCGCCAGCCCTATTTTGTGTTGGGTATTTTTGAGACAGGGTCTCTTGAACTATTTGGCAGGGCTGGCTTTGAACCTCAGTCTTCCTGATCTCTGTCTCCTGAGTGGCTAGGATTATAGGCATGAGCCACTGGTGTCCTGCTCACTATTTTTTTTTTTTTTAAATGCAGAAGATTGACACATGATCTGATTCACAATTTATAATTGCTGTTATGGGTTCGGAGTAGAAAGTAAATTTAGAACAGGACTTGTTTAAGGGGCAGGGAAACCATTTAAGAATGAGGTTTAATAATCCAATAAATAGTGATGGCCTCAAGTAAGGTAGAAACTTGAAACTAGTGAGAATGGATAAACCTGAGTGATGTTTAGAAGGTAGTAATTAAAAAGTTGAACTCTGTTGACTGCTTACTAAATTCCAAACACTACTCAGCACTAAACATGTATTTATGGCATTTAGTACTCATATTTAAACTTTGGATTATTACTTCCCATTTTACAGACTAGAAAATTGAGGCCCATGGAGGTCAAGTATCTTGTTCAGGTTGACATAGGACAGGGCTAGGATTCCAATCTAGATTCTAGATTAGATCTTGAATTCAGATTCTAAATTTTTATACTTTATGCTAGCTGATGTTTGACAAGATATGGGAATGATGGAGAGATAAGAGTAAAAGATGAGGTGAATTCTAGCCTTTAAAATATAATTCTAAAAATATATCTACCTTGATACCATATGTAAAAACAACTCAAAATGAATCAAAAGACCAAATGTAAACGCTAAAACTAAAAGCTCTTAGAAGAAAACAGGCATAAATGTGGCGTCGGATTAGGCAGTATTTTCTTTTTTATTGTGGTACTGGGATTTGAACTCAGAACCTACACCTTGAACCACTCCACCAGCCCTTTTTTGTGATGGGTATTTTCTAAATAGGGTCTTGCAAACTATTTGCCCAGGCTGGCTTTGAATGGCAATCCTCCTGATCTGTCTGTTTCTCTCCCTTACTCAACTAATTTCTTCCAGAGGTATTTTGCCCATCTTTCCTTACTGTGTGTCATTCCACACTGTGAAACATTTAAGTTAGACTATGCATTGATTTTAAGAGATTTACTTCTTTTGCCAAGTTGCTTCAACTTTGTTGGCTAATTCTCAGGGTTTTTTGTTTTTGTTGTTGTTTGTTTGTATCAAGCTCAGGGCCTTGCACATGCTAGGCAAGTGCTCTGGCATTGAGCTAAATCTCCAGCCCCTAATTCTCAGTTGAACTCTGTTGACTGCTTACTAAATTCCAAACACTACTCAGCACTAAACATGTATTTATGGCATTTAGTACTCATATTTAAACTTTGGATTATTACTTCCTATTTTACAGACTAGAAAATTGAGGCCCATAGAGGTCAAGTATCTTGTTCAGGTTGACATAGGACAGGGCTAGGATTCCAATCTAGATTCTAGATTAGATCTAGAATTCAGTATTAAGATTTGAACTCAGGGCCTCATGCTTGCTAGTCAGGTGCTCTACAACCTGAGCCACTCCACCAGCCCTTAATTCTCAGTTCTTATACAGAATGTAACACATGGAGATGTATGGAAAGTAAAACTTTTTAAATGTTGCTCTACTTAATGAGAAAACTAAATGAGCTGGAATCTACTGAAGTATATGCTCTGAGCAAAAAAGAGTTTCAAAAACAGGGAAAACATTAGGTACTTGTTCCTGATGTTTCCAAAGTGCAGATCTGATGAGAGGGAGATTTTTACTTTAGCACCATGAAGAACTTTTATAACTTTTAGAGATTTCTAAAGAAGAATTATTGGTTAAGCTGATAATCCATTTATATTTGCACGTATCTATATTTAGGAATTCAAATTTTATTGCAAAATAATTTTATAGATACAAGAAAAATAAATTCTTGATATTAAATGCCTTAAAGAGCTTTTGAAATGAAGGATAAAAGTTAAAAATAATCATGACAGTCAGAATTAGTAATGCTTACTTACTAATACATCCTTATGGTTCTAAAATCTAAGGTCAACTCTTTGTAAAACCTGACAAATTATGTTCCCCTTACAGTTTCTTCTTTTCTTGTTTCTATAACTTACCAATTATAAAACAAATGCATACTTGAAAGCAACCTGAAAATGCCATCCAGGGAAAGCTATTATTTTTGTTGTGTGACAATTACAAGAGCTGGTAAGATTTTTAGAACTGAGTACCATCAGTCAAAAAAAAAAGTAAAAATTCTATTTGTAGTATATATACTAATAACTCCTGAGACCTTTCTCAGTGTGCTCCCTGTCACCTCATGTTCTGACACAGGTAGAACCTAGGCACAGATGAGATGACTGCATGACAGAAATATTCTGATATGCTCCCCACTCCAGACAAGTGAGCCATAGCTTTCTTTTCTCCCTGTCATCTCACTGTTTCCATTTTTTATTGCTTCTACCTTGAGAAGGATTCATCTCCTTCCATGACCCATCAGGAACCAAAGTAAGAGTGTTAGCTTCACTCTCCAGCTACCTTATTCCTGAAACAGGTACATACCCAGTTTGAGAGTTCTGAAAGTCTTTTTACTTCTGATAGAAAGGAAACACGGTGATGGAATAAGTGAAAAGTCTTCCAGATATTAGTGATAGTCTTTAGCAATTTAAAAGAGTAACAGGAAGAAGTTAGTCCTAGTGACTCTTTTGAATATTACCTCACTGAAGTTAAAAACAGGAAAGTGAAGACCTGGGAACAAGGTTGGGGGAGGAGAGTAGAGAATGCAAAATTAAGGCAAGAGTGGTGTGGGATGGAAGCATTTGCTTCCCCTGCAAGTACTGGGGTTTGAACCTAGGGCCTTATGCTTGCTAGGCCCTATCAGCCACTCCACCAGCCACCTTCCTTTTCTTGCCCCACCTTGTTATCACCAGTTCTGTCATAGGATAAACCTGTGCTGATGGGGCTAGTAAGAAGTAAGTAACTTGCAGGCTGTATTAAAGTGGAAGGGGTGAACAATAGAATCGCTAAAAAGACAGGCAGCTGATAGATTGATACTCAGTTGACTTCATCTGTAACAGTATACCAAACAAGAAGTTAAGGAGTACCTAAGTCAT